CCGCCAGCGGGTGCCGCAAAACGACTGTCAACGGCAGCACGGCCTCCGCCTTGACCTAAGCGACGACAAAACAGGGACTCCTGGCTGGGTTTTATATATCTATATATATTATATATATACATATATAAATATATATGTGTACATAGGGAGAAAAAAAAATTATACATACTTATTTTCTATTGATTGACCAGATTAATTTAAAATGCAAATAAGACACATAAATGTGGTTGAATATTTTTAAATGTTTTTTTTTGTTTTTTGGTTTTTTTTAATTTTAACTTATGTAAGCTGCATGCCGGAGCTGGGAGCCACGCAGGCGCTGCCGCCTTCCTTGCTCGTTTTCTCTAACGCTTTTCACTCTCCTCCCCATCCCTCTCCCCTCGCGCCTGCTCGGAGCAAGACGGGGCCGTGAGCGGGGACTCCCGGCTGCACAGGTAAGGGCCAAGCACAGGTAAGGGCCAAGCACAGAAGCCAAAAACTGCCCCCCAGCCCTGCCGTGCCCTGGGTTTTTTTGCTTTTTTGTGTTTATTTGGGGTTTTTTTTGGCACCGGGTTTGATAACGTGGTGCCTGTGGCCCGCTGGGACCAGTGGTCCGTTTGTTGGCGTCCAGCGTTGCTTGCTGGCGTTGCCCCCCAGCTTTGCCTTGCCGTGCGCGTTGCTGTTTCTTGTTTGCTTTCCCTGTGCGGTCCCTGGACGGTGTTCCAGGCTCTGATCTCGCAAAGCCTCACACAGACGCTTCCCTAGGTTCTTTTTTTTTGCCCCCCCCCCCCCCTTAAAAAATTTATGCTTGCAACTGGGCGGCGCGGGCCCAGCCGTGCCGGGGCAGGAGCACCAGCCCCGCTGAAATTGGGTTTTCCTTTCGAAGGGAGCTGCCGCCTCCCCGGGGCAGACGGGCACTGCTGGGTGCCAACGGCTCCGGGCACCACCGGCAAATTTTGGCTGGGGGCATCTAAGCCGTCGGGGGCTGCTTTGGCAGCGCTGGGTGAGTCTGCGTGGGCCCAGGGGCTCAAATGCGGCTGCTCTGCCCGAGCGCATGGTGGGTGCAGCACCCGCTCGGGGGCTGCGGGACCCCCGTGCTGCCGGCTCCCTCCTCCCCTCCATGGCCTCCACCCCCCCCTT